CTCGGATGACGGCGCGGCCATGTCGACCGTCTTCTACCTCCTCTCCACGCTGGGCGGCTACCTCCTCACCTCGGCTCTGCTGCTGAAATTCCCGGGCTTGCTCCACCGGCCCAAACGCCACCGGTTCCGCTGCCGGCACATCTCCCACCGCGGAGGTGAGGGCGGCGCCTGCGCGAAGCGTCCTTTTGGGGGTCAGCGCGGTCCTCAGGGCCAGCGTTTTTGCATCCTTCTTTTTCGGGCATCTTTCCCCCCCCTTCTCCTCCGCATTATTATCCTTTCCGCGTTTGGGCATCCTGAATTGCACGTCCTTTCCAACGCTTGACTCTGTTTTTAAAAGCTGAATCGATATTATTATTATCATTATTATTATTATTATATGCTCGGCTATCTTTTTTAAACGCTGGGTCCATCCATCCCAAAAATATTTTTGAACGTATTTGGATAGTTTTAAGGTAGTGGCTGGATAGGGTTTGGTTTTAAAATCTTCGCTTTTGCAGACCTGGGTAAATGTTCAGTATTTCGTGCCTGATGGGGGCGTGAGTCAGGCTGGGAGGATGGGAGTTTTTTCCCCCCTGTGAAAAGATACCGTGTATGCAAGGAGCAGAGCTTGGAGAAAATCAGTCAGGAGAGGCACAATGTTCTGGGAATGGCCCGTAAGAGAGTGATGCTGTGGGAACGAAAAAGAGTTGGAGGATACTGTAAATCTGGGGAGTAACAGTTATACATACATACATACATACATACATACATACACATATTGAGGAAGGGTAGAATTTGGGGCAGAGATAAGAAAAGATGGTTTGTATCTGGGGTGGTGTCTGGAGACAATGTGATAAATGTTATGGGACCCCCATGCCCCCCAAAAAGCTGATTTCTAATTATCTCTTTTATAGTAGCGTGGATCCACTGCATATACCTCTGAGTGGGCGCGATGCAGGCAACCGTATGTTGGCTTGCAAAGTAATCTTTAGATAGAGATCGTAGCTTGCACAGAATAGCATGAGCATGCCTGGGATAAAACTAGGTTTTGGTTGTATTTGTGGCCCAAATGTACCAGGACTATCCAGGATGGTTTTGATTATTAGCAAGGGATGCTGCCTGTAATAGGGGTATGAGTAAGGTTGATAATCTAGCCCACGTCTTCTCTATTTTACTACAAGGGCTGTGGGAAAAGCCTTGATTGACCAAAGCCATGATGGGTGGTAGAGGTCAAGGTCTACAGGCCCATCTTGTAACGACCTTGGGGTATGGAAGATGGTGAGTTGCAGTGGGAGGGGACTATGTGGGAAGGAGAATCAGTTAAGTGAAATAAAGGAAAGGCAAATAAATATGCTGTAGGTTTGGGAAAGTAAGCCCAAGACCTGAATGAAGGTGGTCTGATCTTGTATGTACTGTTGATGAATCCATGCAGGGAAGTGAAGGTGTAGGTTTAAATACACATTAAATGTCTGAAAGTATGAATTGATACCATCTACTTTGTTATAGATGGATATCAAAGTAGATAGCACTACGCTCCAATGGATGATGGAAATGGAAGAACCAGAGATGAATTTTGGGAGAAATTCTGCAAAATTCTGAATGAATGCAATCCGGGGGGAAAAATATTCTAAGCGTCCCACAAAGGGGTGGGTGGATATGAGATGAGGGAGTACAGAAAAAGCGATTGGGCCATTTGGAGACGTAAGAATAAATGGGAACAGTGATGGGGAAAGTAAAGTAAAGTAAAATAAAGGTGGCTTATATGGCTGGGTATGTTTTATCGCCTTTCTGTAGTTTGCATAATGTGGCTTCCCTGAAAGAGAACAGCATGGCAGGTAGGCCTGTAGGAGTGGGGAAATATTATGCTGGAGATGGACTGAATAGGGAGAAATTAGAGATTTTTTTTACAGGGAGTAGAATTGGTTGGGGAACAAAGCCGAAGGCATTTCTGCGTCTTACTCTTTCTGTGGGAGCAGGTGACGAAAAACATGTTTTGGTGCACCTGCCGACCGAGAATAAGGCTTGGTGACTCTGATGAAGATGAAGTGGACTCTTGAGTCTCGGCATATTTATCAAATCTGTTCTCCTTTAAAGAACCGCAAGTCTTTTGTGTTTGCTGCGGGGAAAAACATCACTAACCCATCACTAACCTCCGAGGCGCTTTAAGATGAAGCTTGTCGAGTGTATTGCCAAAGGCTCCCTTCATCTGAAAGGAGATCTAAAATTGCTCCCTACATATTTGCCTTTAAAATCTTCAGACTGCTAGCTGAAAAACAGCATAAAGGAGGATTTTCGGTCTAATTTTCCAGACGGCGTAGAAATTACTTTAAAGGGAGAGTCTTCCGTTTGGATAAATAGGGTGCTAAAAAAAGCAGGCGTGATTGTGGCAGGGGCATTTTTTCCCCTCGCTCCCTCCCTCTCTCTCTTTGAAATCCAAATTTGACCTTGAAGTCTGTCCCATATTGCCTCCCCCCCCAGATAAGGGGTGGAGATTGCTGCCTTCCTCCCCGTCTCTGGAGTCCCCCTCCCTAAGCAAAATGCAACCTGATATTTTAATAGGTTGGGGAAACCATTTGCATGCATGTAAATATGCCAGTATAAGTGACATATTGCTGTCATCTTAGTAATTATGATTGTCATCAGTCTGACAACATATACTCAGCTTTGTCTTTCCCGTAATCCCTAAAAGTAGCCATATTTCCTGAAGTTCTCCTTTTCTTCCCCTTTTTCCCTTGTATTTTTTTTTTTTTAATCTTCCTTTAAAGTTGTCTTCCTTTTTTTGCATCCTCCTGTTGTTCTTCTTTCTGTACTTCCAGGCTCTTCGACTGAGGTATTTGTCTGGGAGAGCAATTTGCAACTTGCTTTTGAGAGATTGCAACCTCTGTTTAGTCTGGCTTTGGCAAAGGGTGGACTTTATTCACAATTTCTTCTTTTCTGCTTGCTTACGGGCTTGGTGGCTTACAGCCATCAGGTCAGGGAAGCTGTGTGCAAGCTTGGGAGCGTTGTCCTGAATCCTACCTCATTCTGTTAAGTGGTTATTTGAGCAGGATTGTGCCTCTGTGGTTAAGCATCCTCGAGGTTGTTATTTGAAACCGTGGTTTCTTGTTATAAAACTGCAGGGTAGAATTTTCCTTCCCCCTGTTTCATCCCAACTGTGCTCTTTCTAGTAGACTGCCTTAATACTAAAAGTAAAATGTTAAATGGCAGGGGTCTGTATTACAGGTGAGAAAAGGAGTAGCTGGATCTCCGAAACAGTAAAACGTACGGGGGTCGAGAATCCTCCTTCCTGTATTGTCCATCTCACTTTTCCTTTTTTTCAAGACCTTCTCCCTAATGGTATATTACCCTGTGCTTATTAATTGCTCAGCTGGGTAATTGTAATCAATCGATACAGTAGTGGGCAAAAGCCAGGCCTCTCCCCAAAGATTTCTAATCCACTCAGCTTGTAAACAACCCAGGAGCTTTTAAACAAAGGGATGGGGACATATCAACAATCACGGAGTCTCCGTTCTTCAAGAATAGCTGTTCGCCCAGTGTACTTTCTCAGGGGCACATGGTGACCTTCCCAAGGCCTCTGATGTTTGCCTGGGCCCAAGGGTTGAGGTCATCAGAGGAAGTGGTGACCTTTGATTAAAAGTAAAACGTTTGCTTGTTTGAATTCCTCCTTGTGCAATTCCTAAACAGGGGCGGGAGACAGCCTTTTAACCTCCTCACCAGGCTTGGGAGAAAATATTGCAGTGTCTCTGAGCACCGGCTTTGTGCAAGAATGATCCATACGTGTCAACTCCATCTCCCGGTGTCAGCAGTCATCCCGCTGACCAAATGCTAGCCACCTTCTTGATCTCCTGCTTGGCGACTCTGTGTGTTTGCTTCTTATCTCTGCACGGATAGCCTCCTCCTGACTTGACTTAACTTGGAAAAGGCTAAGCAGAGGCAGACCTGATTCGTATTTGGATGGGAGACCACAAGGAGATCCTGGGCCTGCAGGCTAACCCAGAAGTTTAAAACAATATCTTGCAAGGAGGCAGTAGCTCAAAAATGCAGAAGGCAAGCTAGTTGGGAGGAAATCTTGCCTTTTTGCTGTCCCTCAAATACACAAAGAAAAAAAAAAGAGGGAAATTCCTAGGTTAAAGCTTCTGCATTACAGTTAGATATTCCAAGGGAAGCAATGCGGCCTTCCTTCTTTGCTTCTGCTGCTGCACCCAGTTGGGATAGGAGACAAAAGTTGCATTTTCTTCTCTTGTCTCATCATTAGGTTGGCAATTTTCTAGGGAGGGACTCGGCCTGCTGAAAAAGGAGGAGAGGATCTTTGACCTGAGTGAATGTCCTCTCTACTAATGAACATAACGTGCATTTTATCCTATCTTAGAATTTCCCCCAACTGTAGGGTGGGCCTTGCATAAAAGCTGCCTGCGGGGCTGCTGCTGCTGCTGATTTGAATGCAAAAACCAAATGTTCTCTCGTTCCTAGCATCCAATTTAGGTTTCCATAGCGTGCGTCACCTTGGATCTCAGTTTACAAGCCTCGGATAGAAGTTGCTCATCTATTATTTGTAGGTATCTCTGCACCGATAAGCTGCTCGAAGACCAAGGGGGGGCAGAAATTAGATTCCCCTAGGGGAATGACAGCGTGGGGTTGGGCCCACCCATCCCACACCGGGTAGTCACTCCAGATTAGAAACAATTAGAGGTATTGATAGGCAGCCTGGTCTGCGGACAGGAGACCTTTGCTTTTGGCTATCTGAAGTGGGATACGGATCGTTGGACCGGAATGTTTGCATGCATCCCGTTTTAGGGAGGAAACCAAACTGTTGAGGGGGGTGAAAGCCAGAAGTGATTGAGAGAGCTCCAGAAAGATCTCTTCCAACTGGGTGGAAGGTCAACCAAGCAGCAGTTCAGTTTCGGTAGGGGTAAATCAGTATTTCTCAATCTCAGCAACTTTTAAGCTGAGGGGCTGCTAACCCCCTCCGTGCCCCCCCACCCGCGCGTGCTGTGCTGGGGGGTCAGGTGGGGGTCAGCGGCCGGTGATGTAGA